TGTTAGTGTGAAGAATCCTTGCAGTAATATTTCGTATTCCTTTAATGAACTTGTTATAATTTTCTTGCTGATAAAAGTCTTTCTCTCCCAACAAGATGACACAGTAGTCTCTAAAATCAAAGTTATTTAATTTTGATTCTAATCCTCCTAGTAGTTGTAGTGCTCCTGCTCCTCTTTGCTTTATAAAATGACAGTAATAAAATTTTCTGCTTATATCACTGTTTTCTACAATATTCGAAATGCCAATCCTATTACTACTTGATATAATACATAATTTCTGTTTAATTTTTTTATTATTGTTTGTAGTTGAAGAATTATTTATTTTAGGTATTTTATTAATATTCAATTTTGTTCTTAATACGTCTATCGATCTTTCTAATTCTTTCATTTCGACTTGAGATTCTTCTAATATTAAACTGCATTTCAAAATTATTAAAGCGGTTTCTGTCACTAGAGACTGCAGGACTTACTATATTATTATTTGGATTACATGTTATTTCTCTGATATGTGTAGATAAAACTTGAAAATTTTGGAGAGAGGAATGCAGTTATTGTTGTGACTCATTATAGCACTGATTTAATTTAGAAACCACTTTTTGGCAAGTTTTATATTCGAGATTTCAGTCTTTTTTTGTTAGATCTAGTACGGTTTTATTTAAATTATTGTTTTCTAAAATCTTATTTTCAAGTTTATCTTCAGAGTTTATTTTAATTTTTAGATGATCTAACTCATTTTTCATTTCCTGGAGTGTGTTGAATTCGTATGCATTTCGACCACTTTTTTTAAAGTGCCCATTTCCTTCAAGTAGATTGTTTGACGTCTTGTTTTTAATAAGAGATTCGTAGGAACTCGAAGTTGACGTAGCTTTACGGTGTCTCCTTTGTGTTACGTTTTTACCCGAGGAGCAGTTAGGCTGATCTTTAATATTACAATTTAATGGTGTCGATATTGATATTATCTTCGTTGAGCCCGATATGGATTTTTTTCATTTTTTCACCAGACACAGCTTCTTGTGGCATACCTGCCACAACATCTAGGCAACAACCCCCTTTAACAACACTGGGAAATCTTCGCACTGGGGTTTTCGGTATTCCTGATGCTACAAACAGTTATCAATCCACCATCAGCACCCCAGAAAGTTCTAATTTTGGACCTCAAAGGCCTGCAAATGAAAAAGACGAACTCAACTGTCCAACATGCAAGCAAAGCTATACAGTCGCCATTTATCAGTGTTTTAAGGGGCATAGCTCATGTAGTAATTGTAAAAGCAAATGTTTCCCATGTGGCATTTGTGGGTGTCCTATCGGAGACATGAGGAATATATCTCTTGAAAGTTTTATTGCAGAGATTAAAGTAGCGTGTCCGAATTCAAACGATGGTTGCCGTTTGTATATTAAAATGGCAGATTTAGAAATACATGGAAAGGAATGTCCATTTAGTGAGATGCTGTGTCCTCTAGCAGCTATATTTGGTCAATGCCAATGGAGAGGCCTGATGACAGAGAACGACAGTGGCGAGTATGAGCCGCCACTTAAATCAAAGCTCGGACCCGGGAAGATCAATCTCGTTAGCCTTGGATGGCTATTGATCTAGAATAAGGTACTCCAAATAATAAACCAAACGTGCTGCCTTGTACGTAGGTGTCAGTGCACTAAAGGCTAGGTTGCATGCCCGACAAGCATGCCGAAAACAAAATGGAAGCAGGATTTGAAAACAAATTACCCCAGGAAGGTACCAGCAACGCTGGAGAATCCTTCTCTGAGAAGAGCCGACAGGGAAACTCAGACAGCCTCACCGTATCTGGAGGAGGCAAAATTTTGCTTAAAGGTGATAAAAAAATTATGATACAGCAAACATTCCATCCAAGCTTATTTAACACCAGACCAAGAGGCTCATCACTGAGAAATAATAATAAAACAAACTACCAACTACCTGGACATACAGAAGAAAACATAGAAGAATCCGTGGCCCCCGGAACTGAAGCTGAATCAAGAGAAAGTGGTGCTATTAGATCAAGAAGCCCACATCCTCCAGAATGGCAACGTGTACCCACACAAACATACCGTAAAAAGAGAAAAATAGCAGACACATTCTCGCCAGATGGGGTTAAAACTACTAATAGCTTTGGCAACCTACCAGTGGATTGCACTGAAGAAGACGATAAAGCTGAACCCAAAAAGCCCAATAAACCACCGCCAATAGTTTTGTATGGAGTGGAAGATGTCGGGAAACTTACGGAATTATTAAAAACTGCAGCAGAAAGAAATCAGTTCACCTTCAAAATAGTAAATCGGAATCAGATGAGAATTAGCTCCAATGACATAGAGGTATACAAAAAACTGATTTCAGTTGTTCGAGAAAAGGGACTGATTGGCCATACCTTTAAAAGGAAAGATCAAAGAAACTACAGGATAGTTATCAAAATCCTCCATCCGTCTACTCCCACTAGTGCAATTATAGAAGCTATTGAAAGCACCGGAAACTCGGTTACAGGGGAAGTAATCAATGTTAAGTATGGCCCTGAAAAGATACCAACTTCAACATTTTTCGTCAATATTTTTTTGGTCCAAATAACAAAAATGTAAAGGAACTAAAATACGTTTATCACCAATCTATCCAGATAGAAGACCCAAAGAGAAGGAAGGTAATAGTGCAGTGTCAGAGGTGTCAACAGTATGGACACACAAAGAATTACTGCATGAGGCCCTTCCGTTGTGTTAAATGCGCACTATCACATAAAACATCTGAGTGCATAAAGCGTGACCGGAACACCTCTGCCAAATGTGCCCTATGCCAAGGTCCTCATCCGGCAAACTATAAAGGATGCACAGTATACCAAGAAATTGTAGCTCGTAAAATAACATCTCTACCCTCGATAAGAAAAGCTGAATTTATACGCCCTCAATCAAAATTAACGATGGACGCTGGTACTTCAAAAAACATGAGTACTGAAGGTACTAAAAAAGGTAACTCATGGACTAATGGGCCACCACCTTGGGTTTCAAATAAGAATAATCCTCAAAATGATATAGCTAAGTCAGAATCCATACCAATAAATAACATTGAAAAAATCCTCTCAAAGCAATCACAACAATTCGAATTAATATTACAACAAATGAGTACCATGTTAGGTCTCTAGACAACACTGATAAACAAAATATTAAAATAGGTAGCATCAAACTGGCAACATGGAACGCAAATGGACTTACACCGAACAAAGACGACGTTCAAGTCCTAATCAATGAGCACAAACTTGACATAGTACTTGTTACAGAGACCCATTGTACAAGTTCAAGTAGCGTTAACTTTAAGGGCTTTAACACCTATTATACCAATCACCCGAATGGAACAGCCCATGCAGGGACAGCTATAATAATCCGGAAGACCATAAAACACCACTGCATGCCGGCGTTTAAGACTGATTACCTACAAGGAACTACCGTTGCTGTGGAAGACAAATGCGGCTTCTTCAACGTTTCCTCTGTTTACTGCCCGCCAAAACATAAAATCGGTCAAAGTATGTTCAACTCTTTCTTCGCATCACTTGGACGCCGGTTTATTGCGGTAGGAGATTGGAACTCAAAACATACTCATTGGGGATCTAGACTGATAACAACTAGGGGTCGACAACTAAAGAGCTGCGTTGATTCGAATCACCTACAAGTAATATCAACTGCAGAACCGACATACTGGCCTACTGATATCAATAAGATACCAGACCTTCTGGACTTCTTTGTTGTAGGAGGTCTCTCCAAGCATTACTTCAGATCAGAATCTAGTCTTTATAGCAGCTCGGACCATACTCCAGTGATTCTAACGGTGAGCAAGACTCTTATAGAGTACGAAACATATCCGACACTAAACAACAAGTATACGGACTGGGATTACTTTCGAGAATATATAGACCAAAACCTAGAGCCAAAAATGGCACTAAAGACACCAGAGGATATTGAAAATGCTACCCACTATATAACGACTATAATCCAAGAAGCGTGTTGGATATTATAAAATAACGTATGAGTAAACGAGTTTTACTGTTGATAATCAAATGATGACAAAAATAATTCCAAACATAGAAATTTAATTACAAAAGTAGTGTTGCCAGACAGACGATTCTGAATACCCGTGAAGTACTACTCGCTTCCATCACGCACGTGTTCGAAAATAATAAAAGTCATTATCGTCTTCTTAGCTTTTTCCCCGAATTGTTCGGGGTCGGCTACCTAAGCCAGGCCAGGAGAAACGAAAATAAATAGGTAACTTGTAAAATTTTGTTGCGAGGCCCCCTCAGGCGCGAGACCGTTGGCGGTGGCCGACGTCGCCGACGCCTAGCGCCGCCACTGGTTTTCAATAGACTATGGGGTTCGGTATGAGCTCAGTTGCTGCGTTTTCGCTATACTAAAGTAAGAAGTTGATCACTCTGGTTCTGATTTTTTAAATTATTGATTGGTATGGTACATTTTTATTAATTAAAAACTAAGTTGGCATTTAAATGACTGATCAAAGTGTTTATATTGAGAATTTGGAAATAATGTAAAACTATGGAATTCCTAGTGCTACAGCCTTTGCCAGAATTTAGGAAAATGTTATTGTTTTTTACTGCTATGGCATTGATCGCTCTGGACTGAGTGGCCGTAACGATCAATAATATTAGAAAGGGGTCTGCTGAACCCTTTCTTGGGCACCGGTTGCACGTTAGCATCAGTCCAATTCTCCGGCACACGGCCCAAAGAGTAAGAGAGTTGGTACAAGCGCATAAAGACAGTAGACAACTCCACTGCATATTTTTCAGCAATATTGCTGGGATAAAATTACTTCCACTAGCTTTCCGGACGTCGAGTGATTGCAATTCGGCATGTATCTTAGATTGCCTTATTTAAATATCATCCATAGTATTGAAACAATGAGATAATGACGAAATAATCATACATGTCCTTTCGATCAAATGTGGATAACTCAACTCAATTATGTCAAAGTTCAGTTTTATCACGTTAAAATGCTCATTTGAAATGCAATATACCTAATATTTGTTTAACATTATACAACAGTTCTGCTAGTTGGTATTTGATTCAGGATGGGGTCTAAAAACGCCAGCATACGCAATTGTTTGAGACACTTTATTAATGACACGTCACACAATATTACTAATTATTTACACAGATTTAGTAACAAGTTAATTAGGAGATATCAAGAAATTTAAAAAGGAGCGCATTTGAACTGGATCATCCGAATGGTGATTTGATAACTACATAGGATTTCAATAATACTAATATTTATTGTGAATAAACTATAGGTAATTTATAAGACATGCGTATAGTGAATTAGTAAGTTATCGTTGATTTGTCAAAAACCAAATCAGTATCTTCGTTCTTCTTACACGGCCATCCTCTTCCTGTAGTTATCAACAGCGAGACGTGCTCCAGCCTTGATTCCTTCCCAAGTCTCAAAGCCAGCTTGTTCAATGAAATCTGGATCTACCAAAAATCCGTTCAATTGCCCTTGAATATTCCTATATGCTGGCAGTTCGTAGGTGAATGCCAGAGGTACACCACTGGCCTGGAAGTAGTCACTAGAGCCACCAGAAGCGGCATAAAGTATATGCTGAATATTACCAACTCTATAATCTGGCTTCCAGGACCATTTAACTCTATCAATAGCCTGGGCCATAGTTACTCCTACGAAATTCAGGGCCAAAGCATTCTGAGGCAGTTCTCCATTACCGAAACCGAACAAGATTATACTCCCGAAACTATGAATATCGTTGTACATTTCGATGCGGTCTGGGTATTGATGTAAAATCCTTCGAATTGCTTGAGTTTCGGGTTCGGAGAAAGCATTTCTGCCATGGAAGACTTCGCTGCAGACACTGCCACTGGAGGCGGTTCCCCAGAATATATCGAAGTTTCTATTTAAGTCGACGCCCATGCATAAATTGCCAGCCATAAAGCCAGTGGCCCGGTTCTTTCTCCAGAAACGGTTCTAAAAAGAAAAAGGAAAGGATGCTACTTTTGTTTAGATACATACTGTGTATTTAAAAATTCTACACTAATAAAATGAAGAGGTAAAGTTTGTTCAAATTAAGTAATATTCAGAACTATAGGACCAATTTCAGAAATTCTAAAGCTGTATTTCAATGCGTAAAATAAATTTCAGCCGGCACTATCGCCAGTACTATATAAATAAAAGAACTTTTGAAATGTAAAATTCTTTTTTTTAGTAATAATTTTTTTAGATTTAAATTAAAAGAACTGTTTATTGTGATTAAGCAGTTTCTCTTGGTTTTTCATGGTTTCTATTCAATGTTGCTATATTCACATCACTACCTACATAAGAGAATAAGGCAATACTTACATTGTTATGAGAAAACTCATAACCATCGGGATTAGCAACAGGCATAATGATCCAATCGATATTATTCACTAGATCAGGCTCACTGACATCAATAACTAACTTTTCGATGGCATATAAACAAGCTGGTAAAGTCACCCATTCACGAGCGTGCAATAGACACTGCAAGAACACTATAGGTTTCCTTGAAGTCTGAAACGAAAAATAATCATGTTATTTTTTGCCTAGTGTAACAAGATATAATTTAAAAATATTTTTCTCTTACAAGTAAAGAAACTGAACCATTTGAATTTCACTTCTTGCCTAACACTAAATAAAAAATATCGTTGTAAGACACTACATTACTCAAAAACACTTTTTATAATATTTCTTAATTATTTGACCTTATTTAGACAAGATAAAAATTTGTAGTGGTATGATAAACTTCCTGGCAGGTGAAGGAGTAATCGTTGGTAATAAGAGTAATAATTAAACTAATAGAAAGGTACCTCAAAATTCGTTGTGGATATTTTTAAATACTTGATCGGCCTTCCTTCAAAACTCTCTCCACCGTTCACAACCGTGACGAGGTTAGGGTACTCTTGACCCAGCCGATCTAGGTAATCGTCCACCTGTAAAAATATAAAAATGACATCAATCAACAAACATTGCAATAAAATTATGTTAACACCAATATTAAAGCCCAAATTGAACCAACTGATCTAAAGTCCATTTACTTTGACTAGACAAGCTTTGCTTCCAAATTTGTGCCAGTTTCGTGTATTATGTGCTTCTTGGCATATAATTTTGTTCTGTAGACTTATACTATGAATCATAGCTTAATAATGTGTATAGTTAATATATCATCTGTTAGTTCATCGAATAAGTGTGCCTTACAGAAGCACAGAGGCTCTCCTGGAGACACACTTTCCGGGCTGTGTGATGAAGTCAACACATGTCTTGGGGGGAAAACTTTTGGACACCGATCGTACACTGTTGGGACATAGCTACCAAGGCAGTATCAAAGGACAAGGTAAAATGGGCATTAAATAGTTTCCAACCTTTCAAGGCTGCGGGTCCGGATGGAATCTTCCCGGCACTTCTTCAGTGGGCGGGAGATGACCTAATACGGATTCTGGTAGAGTAACTTTCATCTCAAAACCAGGTAAGAGCTATAATCGCTTCAGAGCCAAAATCATACAGGCAAATTAGTTTCTCTTCTTTCTTCCTAAAATCCCTAGAGAGACTATGTGACAGAGAACTGAGAGACAATCAATTGACGAAGCCAACGCTTCACCGAAAACAACATGCCTACAGTCCAGGTAAATCGACAAAATCGGCATTGCATGCCGGTAAGATCCATAGAGGTTAGCCTACGTAAGGAGCTATGCCTGGGCACATCTATAGCCATAGAAGGAGCATTTGACAAAACCAGTTTAAGAAGCATAACGATATACTTAAACATGAAGCTGATGAGACCATCGTCCAGTGAATAAGTAATTTGCTATCTAACAGGTTAATAAGACCACAAGGAGAGAATCAACTGCGAGCAATGGCTACGAGAGGCTGACCACAAGGTGGGGTACTCTTACCACTACTTTGGAACACAGTTGTGAACGACCTTATTACAAGACTGAACAATCACTACTTCACAATAGGATATGCAGATGACCTAGCGATTTTAATCCCAGGTAAGTTTGCGTACACAGTTTGCGATGTGATACAAAGGGTACTGAGAGTGTTAGAGAAATGGTGCACAGACTATGATCTAAAGGTAAACCCGGGTAAAACCAAACTAGTTCTTTTCACCAACTAAAGGAACCTGGGTAGCTACCGTATGCCAGATTTATTTGACAAAATGCTGTATTTCTCCAAGGAGGTAAAATATTTAGGCACAAACCTAGACGGCAAACTCAACTGAGGAACACATATTGACAAAACCACTAAGAAAGCTTGACTACAAGATGCCACATACTCGTATTTTAAAAGGTATTGAGGAAGAATACCCCTTCTACATGGCGAAAAACGACATGATCCCCAGACAGTACGCATTTGACAAAAAATATAGAATACAACTATATGAAGACAATCCAGATCGAGAACTGCATAGGGTATACACAAACATCTCCAAAAGTAACTCAGGTACTGGTGCAGGTGTATTCTCGGAGGATAGTAACAATCATATATCAGACAGCCTGGGTATCTTCAATACGGTCTTTCAGGCGGAGTCTATAGGTATTGTCAGAGCAGCGGAGCACATGACATGCAATCATCATCCGGATACTCTCTGACAGTTCCTCGGTACTCCTGGCGCTAGGCAACAATATGTATAATGTCGTCCAGCCTGGTTTTCAAGTGCCATTGCAAACTTATGGAGGTAGGCAACGAAAACGACGTCACGCTCCAATGGATAAAAGGACATAGTGGGTCAAGGGGCAATGATGCGGCAGATTTTCTTAATAATAATAAGAAAATCTGCCGCATCATTGCCCCTTGACCCACTATGTCCTTTTATCCATTGGAGCGTGACGTCGTTTTCTTTGCCTATCTCCATAAGTTTGCAATGGCACTTAGCCCAGAACCAATCGTACCGATCCCATACCGACTGCTGCGAGGTTGGATTAGTGAACAATACCTGCCCAAATGCCACGAATGTGACGCTAGCGAAGACACTGCGCAACACACGCTGGAATAGTGCTCTGTATGGGACGAACAGCGTGGTGCCCTCATCAGAGAGGTCGGTAATGATTTATCCCTTCCCAGTATCGTTCGGGCTATGGTCTCGAGGCGAAAAGCCTGGAATGCCGTTGCCCACTTTAGCGCGACGGTCATGGCGGCAAAGGAGGCCAATGAGAGAGAGAGGGAGGCTGACCCTCTTGCACCTGCTAGTAGGCGCCGGAGGACTGGGCGGCGACGCAGAACATTCGCGCAAACCTCGACCTAGCGGGGGTCTGCGGGCTATTGGTTGGGCGCCAGTAACCCGCGTTGTACAGGCCCCTGCGACGATGGGGTGTCCGTTGGAACGCGGATGCCCCATGCCTCTGACACGGAGATGAGCCCGCCCAGACTACTGTGCGGGCACCGCCGAGTAGGCCTACGCGAGCCAATGCCCTGCGCATGCTCGTGGCCTGCTCAATTATGGCGAGGCGAAATTCCCTGGGAGAGGGAACAATACCTGCGACAACATAACGAATACTGGGCTGGACTTGCAGAATGCAGGCACGCCAAGGAGGCCATACCTAAGGTAGACCCACGGCTAGCAAGTAAGTTTTGCAAGTTACCAAGACGTACTTTGAAACAAATTGTGAGCATTCTCACAGGACATGGACACTTTAATAAGCATCTCTTTGAAATAGGTATCTCGGACAGACCTCTGTGCAGAGCCTGCATGGAGGAACAGGGGACGGGCATTCACGTCCTGCTACAGTGCAGAGGCGTGACCAGGCAACTGATGATACCTGGGCAGCCCGCAGACGCTGCTCGAGGCCTGCGGAGACACCAAGAGACTGCTGAGCTTCTTGGGGGAGTTGGGATGGCATGACTAAAGCCATCCTCTCACGCAAAAAAGGCACCTGGTGTCGAGTTGCCGAAAACACTCACCGTACAGAAGAAGAAGAAGCTTACATAAAAAAACATAAAAGATACGTCATTTTAGAACTGTTTCTAAAACTTATATCGATAAGAGGATAAGCTTACAGAGCTAAGATGTCGCGTATGTAACAGAATACCTATAATTATAATCTCTTCAAATGATGTTGAAGCTTGTGTGATATTTTCTATTCAATAAATACTAATTCATTCTTGAGTAATCGCAAACCATAACAATATGCTTACAACTGAAAGTCTGTGAATTTCGTTAAAATTGAGGCCAGATGATGATCTATTACTCGACCGCCTGGATACTGCTGAGGACAGAAGTTGTTCTTCTCTCTCCAATTCTCTGAAAACAGAAAGAAGATTTTAATAAGATGTTACATTGATCACGTTAATGGAGAACGTGATCACGAAGACAGAGCTAATAAAATATGCCATTGACACAAACTGAATAGGGACGACGATGGGGTAAATTAAACGAGATTATATTACCAGAATAGATGTAAGATTAAAAAAATAATGGTCAAGCAAGGTCTCTTGAATGACAAATTAAGAAGAGAGAGATGAGAGAGATTTTATATTCAAGTAATCTATAATGAGGAGCTCGATAGCGCAAGTGCTTAGCTCTCTTGACTGCGATCGTTGAAGTTAACTTTCTGAGTTGTCGGTAATTTTGCATATGGGGGGAAGACTATATTGCCAATTTTGGCTTTCCATAAAAAAGTTTGGTCGAATGTGTGACTAAAAATTTATTATCTCGAGCTCCTCAAGTATGTATCTACAGACGTTAGAAAGAAACAAAAAACCACCAATCCGCACTGGGCTCGCGTGGTGGGTCCAGAGAGATTATGCCTTTAACAAGGAAAGGCATGTGCCCCCGTAGTGGGGACATTTATAGGCTGATGATAAATATCTAATAATACAGTTATTACGTTGTGAGTTGTTCGGAATTATTTATCATTAATAATAGCTAGAAGAAATTCTAGAAGCTTAAGAAGAAGGTCGGTCGATAATATCGGATGCGTTTTTGCGATGTTTCGTCATACTTCAATTGCGTCGTTATTATCGCAGCAGTGTGTAACTTCGTAGCTTATAGCATCTTCGTTTTTCATATATAATGTAAGTACCAAAAACAGATATCGCATTATCGCATCCGATATCTATATATACATATAAAACTCAAAGGTGACTGACTGACATAGTGATCTATCAACGCACAGCTACTGGACAGATCAGGCTGAAATTTGGCATGCAGGTAGATGTTATGACGTAGGCATCCACTACGAAAGGATTTTGATCAATTCTTACCCCCAAGGGGTTAAAATAGGGAATGAAAGTTTGTATGAAACTTTGTCAATTTTAAACCGATCTAGCTGAGACTTTGCTGCATGCAATAGTGGTATAAGAAGAATCATAGATGAATGTCATTGTATATATTACAAGCCTGAGAACAAAAACTGTAGTCTACACTTCAGCTCTACACCGAAGCGAAGCGAGGGCTGGCCGCTAGTTATCTATAATAACGCGCCTATGAGGGGAATCCCTACATTGCCAATTTGACCTTGAATAAAGTGTTCACTCACTGTTTGACGTTAGTGATGGTAATCTTGTATTCCACTTGAGCTGCTTGCAACAACATTTCGAACTGAAACTTGTAGTCTTTCGACACGAAGAACTGGCCAGGGTACTCGGGCTGTGCTGGCATCCACATATCAATGGGGATCTGGTTCTCAAGCTGATTCACGAAAGCAGCCTGGTAAGCATCCTGTACTGTCACCTCGTACACTGTATAACTGGAAAATTATTGTTTAGATTATTATAATTTATGTTTTGAGAATTTAAGTACTAGATGTTTTTTTTTTTATTTTTTTATTTTTTATTTTATTTTAGGAACATAGAACAGTTATACACTAAATATTACATAAAATTATAATGTAGATATCAATTAGGTAAGTGTACAACCCACACCAATGTCCACAAATTAATGATGAAAGGAGAAGTTTATTATCTTCTCACTACGGAATAATAAACTAAAAAACCGCGATGAACCGGTACAGATACAAGTATGATATCCAATTCCATCAACCCGTTCTATTTGATAATGTTTCTACTGCCATTTTTTTAAACTTTAATTTTGAGAACCCAAATATGTCTAATTCTGCAAAGTTTGTGTTATAATTATCCAGTAGTCGCCGAAGGGGCGCACGCACTCCCGCATTCGTTCTACAGGTCCCAGTATAAAACAGCCGAGGCGCGCGCACCCCTCTGCGGAATACCGATCTAGGTACAACATAACTCAAATAATTTGTGAGGTTATTACAATCGAACCCGTTATTACAAATGCCATGCAACATCATGGCCATGAGTAGGTAACGTCTGGACTCCAAGCTCAAAAGTCCGTAATGAGTCAACAATTCCGCATAAGAAATTCTACAATGATGTAACTTGTAATGTATCCTACGTAAAAACTTCTTTTGAACCTTTTCAAGTCTGTCCACATATGTATCGTAAAGCGGACACCAAATTGGAACTGCGAATTCAAGCTGAGAGCGAACCAAGGTCATGTAAAGAGTAAGAAAAGTAGAAGAACGCCTGAAATCCGTGGATGACCTCATGACAAAACCATACATACGATAGGCTTTGTTTATGATATTGTTGATATGTTCGTCAAAATGCAGTTTACTGTCAATCACCACCCCTAGATCGCGAATATTACTTACTTTATTTATGTTAACACCGTTAATATTATATGTATAGTTCAAAACGTTTTTTTTTCTTTTTGGTGAAGATTATAGAATTGCACTTATCCAAATTTAAATGTAGTTTATTTTTTCTACAATAATAAGAAAGTCTGTCTAAGTCTTCTTGTAGCATATGACAATCGTCTACGGTCCTACAGGGTTTGTAAATTTTCATATCATCTGTGTACATGAGGAACCTGGAGTTCGTAAAACAGCTTTTTATGTCATTAATAAATAGGATAAACAAAAGAGGTCCCAAGATCGATCCCTGCGGAACTCCAGAGGTTGCACACACAATTTCAGACTCAAAGCCGTTAACCACCACCCTATGAGTTCTGTTATAAATATATGATGAAAACCACCGCAATAAATTACCACGTATACCATTGAACGCAATTTTATCCAAAAGCAATTTATGATCAACCTTATCAAAACATTTCCGAAAGTCTGTGTAAACAGCATCTACCTGAACCCGATTATCCATATTTTCAAACAAAAAGTTTGTATATATCATCAGATTAGTCGAAGTAGAGCGACGTTTGACAAATCCATGTTGCTCTGGTATAATAATGTTTTGAATTTGCGGGTACAGATTTTCATGTACCAGACCCTCAAATAGTTTAGACAACGCCGATAACTTGGAAATAGGACGATAATTTCCGATGTCATTTTTATCCCCACCTTTATACACCGGTGTGATAAAAGCATGCTTCCAGATGTCTGGGAAACAGCCCTCACTCAAGCATTTATTATATAAAATATGTAATGGTTTAACTATATTGTCCGAAACCTGTTTTAAAAATATAGGTGGTATGCCATCTGGTCCCGCCCCTTTGTTAACATCGAGTTTTTTAAGTGCGTTCTGAATTGAACTGGTGGTCAGATAGATGTCACATACACAATTTGAAACTTCACTTTGTGTGCTCAATGGCTGCCAATGACATGGATCAAGAGAGGAAGGCTCATAAACCGAAGCAAAAAAATCCGAGAAAAGGTTGCAAATCTCGGTTGGATCACTGGAAGACACATTATTGTGGTGCATAGTAGAAGGTAGACCAGCATTACCCCTACGACCTGAGATATAGTGCCAAAAGCGCTTCGTATTCAAGGGAATAGTTGTTTCTACAGAATCGATATATTTTCGGAAACACTTTTCAGAAACTGATTGGAAATGTTTCCGATTAATGGAAAATTTCTCATAATCCAACAAATTACCATACTTTTTCCATTTAATCCAAGCACGTTCTTTTTCTTTGCACAGTCGTATCAGTGCATGTGAAAACCAGATAGGGTAACGTTGATTTTTGGGATAATTGAAAGGTACATGTGTCTTAATTATTGTGTGGTCTAAAAAAATTTTTCATAGAAAAATTCCACTTTGCACATGTTTATGGCATTCGCATATATATTATTTCAGTAGTAATTTGAATTACTTTGTCGCACCTTTAGAATTGAAGTGACCTAATCCAAAATTCTTGTTTTTTGGTAAACGCTAAAAATGTGATTGACAAGTTGGCCATTTTTTTGTTTTTCTATTATAATGCTATAAGTTGTACGTTTATTATCATATTTTTATTGTTAATGGTAGGATAGGAATTGTTTTCATGTTTGTTTACTAAACCAGTCTGTATAACTAATTAGAACCTTTGTTAATTAATCATCAAAAAAAAACATGTCCCTTATTTAATGAAAACAGTTTATTTTAATTGGCTTATTTCACTGTGTGCCCCTTTTTTACTAAACAACATAGAAGAAAACCGTAACTATTTAATATAGTGGCGATTCATTTCTAATGTCATATATTTGATAGATGACCAATTTTGTAATACTAGTTTAATAATAAATGATTTTCTAAACTAAAGGATAAATGAAATAAATGTCCACGCAACACTGAATGGGGTACTTCAATACAAAGGGAGGCGCGGTATTCGTGTCATTTAAAAGAGACGGAAATAGTACGTTTGTCTTCTTTTGGGCTAAAAGAGCCTGTTTATTATTAATAAACTGATAGAATACATGTTTTTATGTCGTTTCACGTTTAAAAGTCAATTTGCTATTTTTTTTATTTAAGTCACTTCAATTCTAAAGGTGCGTTATGTCGGTGATATTTTAAGTGCAGATATGTCATAAGTGCACGCACTGCGAAGACTCGAAAACGGAATAATTGAAGCGTCTTGACGACTAGATACAAACAGATTTTAAACGCTAACTATGAACGTAACATATCTATAGAAATAATATTATTACTTTATGTATAGGTCGAAGTATGATTTTATAAATATTTTTTTGTTAATTAACTAGGAATTTTAAGAAAACGCGTTTAAAATAGGACAATTGCGATGATATTCCTCAATCATTTTTAAAAAGATAGGAATTTTGCGAAATAGCGAGTCGCCTGGATTGCGAAAAGAATCGTTGGTTTATTATAAATATTATTGGGGTTTGGCTTCTTAGGGTCACACTAGGTTCGGTTAGTGCTGTGACTATGTCAGAAAAAAAATGTTAACAGTTAGATTGGATTTTCGCGGAAATTCGATTTATAAAATCATTCTGCGATTTATACTAAGCATTAATGAGGCTACAATATAAATTTATTTTAGCGGAAGACTACCTATAAAATAATGTGCCCTAAATATTATTTAAACACGTATTTCTGCTACACCAGCCATTTTATTTTCATTGGACTTCATTCACATTTAACATTATGAATCTAATTTGATAGAAATAAAAAAAAATGAAGATACATATTAAAAAAGGTTGATTGTAAGAAAACAAATGTGGCAAAGAAATCAAAACCATATTTAACATACCTACTTTTATTTAAGCTATGAACTGATTGATTGTTGCGTCTAAAGAAAAAAAATAATAGAAAGAACTAGAACTATATTTTGCATTCTCTTAAAAAATGAATTCGCCTGCATTAACACTAGTCGAATTGATTTTCTAGTCAAAATATTCTTGACACATTTAACATTTTTGAGACAACAAGGAATTCGGTGCAGGTGTAAATAATGTAGTATTGTGTATGTTCTAACAGAAAACTATTTTTCTTTTTATTATAGTTAGGCCGTATACAGAAAGAAAGCCGAAAGCCGATCGGCGCCGATCGGCGCTTATCGGCGCCGATCCTTCCTACATAAAGGAAGCCGATTAAAGCAGATCAAGCAAAATGTCGGACTCATCGGACGATGATTTGGTTTTGTTAGAAAATATTTATTTAAAAATGCGAAAAACAGCTATGCTATAAATATATATCCTATAAATAGAGAAAGGAAACGTTTCGGAGAATACCATCATTTATTTGTAAAAAAATTGAAATTTGATGAACAAAGATTTTATACATATACAAGAATGATTCAAGAAACATTTTATTACATTTGGATTTAGTGATAAACCGTTTGATGAAAAATTGGTGCAATTGGCATAAACAACCAATCCTTCCAGAAGAAAGACTTGTTGTCACCATTCGGTAAGTACGAAACAAATAATTTTAGCGCTTAGTTAATAAAAGATAAAGTTATTAGATTTATAAAAAGATTATAACTTAGATTGATTTAATCTAAGGATAATAATTCAAATACAAATTATTTATTATTCGGACCAGCGCGTGTCGGCGCTTATCGGCGCATAGAAAAAGGATCAGCGCCAATAGGCTTTCGGCTTTCTTTCTGTATACGGCCTTAGTTAGGCAAATGACTCTACCCAACCTGATGTTAAGTGGTGATAAAGTCGACACGCGAAGATAGCTGGTACATCAGTAATACTGCTACACCAACCATCCTCGCCTTGCCGTATTGCATAAATGCTTCTTCAAGCCTCTCTTAAAGGAACCCTGATTGTAGGAAGGGAGAAACACGTGCTCTGACAAAAAATTCCACTTGCGAATAGTACGACATAGAAAGGAGTCACCAAATTTCTTTGTACGTGAAGGAATAGTGGCCACAATAAGTCGGTGACAACGTAAGCCAGCGCGCGTGGTCATCTGAAGAAAAGGTGATGGAGGGGTTAGGAGTATGACTCCTCAAAACACTCTCCGTGGTATCGGTAGAATGCGCTTAATGATTCCTCATCGTGGAGTAATTCATTTTACTATTATTTAGGATCGAAGAAAATCTCTGTCGATTTTGACTAAAACGTTAAATTGATTTTGATAAAATTCGAAATGGATATAAAAGGGACATTGGATAGGGAAACTACTTTTAATAGCGATAATTAAATTTGAATTGTATATAATAAGGGATGCCTCTTTGCATAAAAAAAAAAAACAATTATTCGACGTAGACGAAGTCTACTGCGTCTGCTAGCTGGGTTTGTGAAGGAAGCAAAAGCATAAATTAAAATGAAATATAAATAAAAGTTATTACCCTTCGTAAACTTCATGTTTTGCCAGCGCCACATATATAGAGAAACAAAAAACGAACAAACTTTTCAGATTATTCGCCATTTTGTACGTATTGAAATGGCCGAATACAATTAAGTAATGCTCAACAATTTTATAATTTGTTTCGATAATTCCTTAAATTAATCTCGTGATAACGAATTATCTAAGTATTTAATCACTTTCATGATAAATTAAATTTATTTTACGTCACAAAATTATTTTGTGTATGTAATACAGCTCTGATAAGTAAATATTGGGTATAAAAATCCTTTAACGAAAATGAATTCTTATAGCTTTATGCTACGAAAATATGCCACAATGAGTGTTTTATTGGCATTTGTTTTATTTTTTTATTGTTGTAAACGTAATATGTTGAAAATTTAATTGGTACTGTAAGCAGTATGTAGGTTAATTGAAGTAAAACAAACTCTATACCGCAAAGAATGATGTTTAAAAATAAGAATGGCATATATATGAAAAAAGAGAAGGGACTTCATCTAAGAAAGGTGAGAAAACGGATAAAAGCTAAAGTTTAAGTATTGTTAATATATTTTATGATATTATAATAAATGTTATGTTTCTGAAAGATGAGTTTAAATACACAGATTATTTAATATTATGAAAGTAACGCCGACATAGCTCGGACAATTACATTGGTGGAGGCAAAAAAAGAATACTTGTTCCTCGACTTCTGAGCAACGCACCCCAAATTGCTGAAATCACTAAATATGGAGAAAATATGTTATTTTGACGGGTCTACAGATTTCGAAGATTTCATTACGGAATTCACGGCCCTTGCAACTTATAAAAAATTCACAGAGGACGACAGAAAATTGTTATTTCCGGCGGCACTTAAAGGACCTGCTCTTTCTTATAATAACGTAATTAAATCAGTGTGCACGACATTCCAAGAGGTGGTAGAAAAATTAAAAGAAGAATTTGGTTCAAATATTGACCATGGCAGGACAGAAACAGGCTAGGCTAGGAGACAGGACGCATGAACAGGCTAGGACACCTCAACCAGCACCAGTATAATTTACGATCTACTTTCAGGTCTCAACAACCACAACTGGATTTTGGAACGCAGTGACGACGTACAAACTTTTAAATCCTGTGTTTCCGAACTGCAAGAGTCTTCATCGACGGGACGTAAAACCGTCGACCTCTGATCACGAGTTAGACCTTTTGTATACTTTTTTACTAATTATTTTAACTTTTCAGCTCTTTTAGATACTGGGGCTATTATTTTATGCATTAGCCAAGAAGTTGGCTGTATGATGAATGTAAAAGATGGTGGTATGAATGTGCAATGTTTAAAGGCGATAAATGGTACTTAGTGTATACTACAATAACATCGTTTTTCAACTTGACGACTCTGTATTTAACAATACAGGGAGAAAAAAAATAGCCCTTGCTGAGTTTCTTGCCGGTTCTTCTCAATACAAAGTCTCCCGTCGTAGTTTCTTGACCTTTACAAGTGCTTTCATTTCATTTCATTACAACAATATAGTGGGCAACAAGCAGTACAACTTAATAAATATAATGGGCCACTGCAAAATATATTACGGATTAGGTAGTTGCTGTTTTCGGCAGAAGTTTGTAATAATAAAAGGGTAACAATGTAGTATAATCCTTTATCAAGATTTTTTAACACATAATAAGATGTTGATGATTTTTTCACAACATTCTTTAGAATTTCAGGGTGAAAGATTGCCATTTATGAGTTTAAAAGAAATAGAAAACCTCACTCCCAACAGAAATAATCAATTTTAATGGGAACGAAGAACATAATATTTATTTGTTTCTTAGGTTTTCACGCACATCACTCATTAAATAAAACTAGTTGTTACGGGTTAATGCACGAAACTTTATTTATTTATTGACGTTTCGCAGCCTTTTCTGGTCTGCATCGTCAGAATAATGATTTTTTATTTAAAATTGTCGAGCTACCTTCGAAAGACTTATATTGAGCGTTCGGTTATTTCATTGGAAGATTTTTAAAATTTTATTGTCTATGTATGAATTTATTATTTAATTTACTTAATAAAGTATTTTATTTAAAATTCTTGTTTGTAATTTTGAGTTTATTTATTTGACCCTAACTACCGTAAACTACCACCGGTTCCAAAATTGGGAGACCTTCCTGAGAAGAACCGGCGAAACAAACTCAAGAGAGGCTTTCTATCTCCTTCTTATGTTAAATTATGCAAACAAAAAGAACTAATAGTATCTGATGGTCTTGCAGTGTGTGCTCGGGGTTGGGATTTTATCTCCTGTATAATAGGTTCCCAAGCTGGTGGTATATACCAACCATCTTCCCTATTGAAATTTGGATATTTTTTAATCTCAATAGCCTCGCGCATCATTCGAGGAACGAACCGCCGCTCAGCTGCAAGTATCTGTGGTCTATCAAATCTCATGTAGTGGTTTGGTCCCCCTAATGCATGTTCACACACTGCAGATTTATTTTCGCGCCTATGTTTCATATCTGCGATATGTTCTTTTACCCGAGTCCCTATACTCCTCTTTGTTTGCCCGATGTAGGAGAGCCCACAGTCGCATTCAAGTTTGTAGACACCAGCTACTTGAAAGGGTATATTGCACTTGACCGGTCGTAGAAACTGGTTGATCTTCTTTGGCGGCTTGAAGTATGTATTGATTGAAGCACTGAAACCATTATTCTGACGATGCAGACCTGAAAAGGCTGCGAAACGTCAATAAATAAATAAAGTTTCGTGCATTAACCCGTAAAAACTAGTTTTATTTAACATAATATTTGTTTACCAATTATGAGATTCGCAAAAGAGGAATCTACAATCAATACAGACACAAAGGAGTATAATAAGGATATTCAGGTTTTCGCCAATATATCCCATGGCGATTACATTTATTTTACCAACGGTAAAGATGGCATTGACATTCAAGTGTCAAAAAGTAAGAACGATTTTAATATTTCAGAAGATTTGCCAAGGAATGAAGAGGAAATGTTATTATCGCTATTAGAGAAAAATAGGGATAGATTTGCATTTTCGGATAGACAATTGGAAAGGTTAGATGTTATCCCCGTGGATGTTGAAACTGTGGATGAACAACCAGTAAGATTTCATCCGTATCGAGTCTCTCCGGTGCAGAAAGAAATAATCGATAAGCAGGTAGCAAAAATGTTGGAACTTGGGGTGATAAAGGAATCAAACAGTTCATATGCTTCACCTGTAGTTCTGGTAAAGAAACCAGATAATTCGTGGAGTTTTTGTATTGATTATAGAAGGTTGAATAAGAATATAATTAAAGACACCTTCCCTATCCCAGGAAATAACGACATAATTACTAATCTTGCAGGAGCACAATACTTTGCTAAATTGGATCTCAATTCAGGCTATTGGCAAACAAAAATCCGAAATGGAAGACACAAGACAGCGTTCATTACATCAACCATAGTTCCACCACCATCAATATATGTTGATAATGTGATAATTTATGAAAAAACGTTTAAGGGGTTTCTAAATGCATTGAAAGAGGTTTTTACTAGAAAATAGCTAGAAAATCTTGGAATTCCTATTCTGTGCTAATGTGGGTTTATTCTGATTAAAACGTGCTTATAGTAATGGTCAATAAAAATTGTAAGTCAAATAGTAATGCTTGTTTTGAGAGTTTGTTGACAAAATCTTTGTGGAAAACGGTTGGTAGAAAGAGTTTATGTTTTAAGATGATCAAAGTTGATTACATAAATGATTTCGGTTTGAACTTGGCTGAACAATAAGTCTCTAATCAAGGGGGACCTGAATGGGTTTCAATTCAATCAGAATGAATAAACTCGTGCTTTACTTGTAGGAAGGTATGTTTAAATAGTTGTAGGATAGAGGACAGATAGTTTTGTGGTTGAGTAATTTGACTTATGAGTACAGGAAGGCAGACGAATAGATGTAGAGTTGGATAGTAAGATAATAGCTTGAGATAAGAATTGTGGGGTCGATACTTGAGTAAGGTACTTTAATTAGAGCGGGATAGTGGCTTTAAAATGTATAGATATCGCTATCTGCCAGTATTCTAAGGTACTTGTGACTACTTCTTTTTATGTGGTCGTGTTATTCTGTAGTACGAATTATGTATTATCAAAAAAAAGTGTTAATTTAAAAGTATTTAATCGCGTTTTCATCAATCAGACCTTTTTAGTATTCGTGTTAATTTTTGGGAATGAAAAACCTTGACTAAAAAATCTATGAGCCTAATTTTTCTTTAGATATGTTTTGAATTATTTTTATTTGTGAACGAGTTTGATGACTATTATAATCTATATTTGTATGTAATGGATAATGGTGAGTAGATTTAAATTTGAGGTGAGGTAAAAAAAAATTTTTTCACCGTCCCCAGAGCATTCTATGCAGCAAGTAGGTTGATTGCCTCTTCCAATTACGATACCCCACAAGGTCCATAATGAAAAATTACCGCCTTTGGATCCCTATTATGGTCTGCAATAAATGTTGCAATGATGTTGATTGAAGTGTAAAACAAACTATACCGCAACGAATGATGTTCAAAAACAAGAATGGCATAGATATATATAAAAAAAGAGAAGGGACATTATCTTAGAAAAGTGAGATAACGGAAAAAAGCTAGAGGTTAAGTATTATTTAAATATTTTATGATATTAGATAAATGTTAGATAGATATTTTATAAATGTTATGTTTGTGCAAGGTGAGTTTTTAATACACGGATTATTTAATATTATGAAAGTAACGCGGATATAGCTCGGAAAATTACTGTACTGACAAACTAAAGCCTGCTGCTACAGCTTTATGCTACGAGTATAAGAAATCATTTCATGGTTTCATGGTGTCGCCGACTCGAGAGGTCCCGGGTTCGAATCCCGGTGGGGGCAGATGTTTGTGTGATGAATACGAGCATTTGTACTCCAGTCATGGATGTTTAATATATATTTCTATATAAATATACTTATATATTATGTACAGTATAATATGTATTCTATCCGTTACCCTAGTATCCCATAACACAAGCCTTATAGTGCTTAGCTTGGGGCTAGCCTAATTGATGTGTTGTAAAAAAAAATTTCGTTATAGGATTATCTATATATATATATAAAACTCAAAGGTGACTGACTGACATAGTGATCTATCAACGTACAGCCCAAACCACTGGACGGATCGGG